ATTGACTGGTTGACAGAAACATTGTGACCAGAGGCTTGTAGGAACCTAACCCTGTATATTCCCTAGGAGCAATTGTTCAGTATTTGCTAATTCGGTGTTGGCAGCAACTTTATACACCACACTACATCAAATAATGAGAATTGACCATACTTAAATACTTATAACATTGTTTAGAACTGTATAACCTGAAATACTAGAAAGAATGAATTTGCTCATGAATACTATTTGAATGAGCATAGACCAAGATTGTGCTAAAATTTAATGATATATTTTATAATCATCAAACATATTCTGCCTATTTAAAACATTTTGTTGATTCCAGAATAATCAACTCTTATTCCATAAATAGATGATGAACTACAACATAGTTTGATGTGGCTCATATCTGAAGACACTACTGCCTAAGCTATTGTAGCTCTCTTGGAAACAAATCGAATTCTAAGAGCCTATTTTTGTCAGTTATTTCTTATGAAGAAAAAATGTGTTCAAAACCACACCATAAGTGTAACAGCAAAGAATTCTCAAACATATTATTTGGCTATAAGAAGCATTCTTAGAACTAAGAAACATCTGAAAAAAATTAAGCAATATGGAATTAGAAACTAATTTCATCTTTTTGAGAAAGAAGATGTTCACAGTCGGGTTGCCTGATGATCTGAGTTTATTTTTGTAGAGTTATTGATCCTTCCAAAGATCTCATTGAATTGTCCTAAAATAAATTTCTTTCTAGAGGATGAAATCTCCTGAACAATAAACTGAGCTATATGTTTCCTCCTGGGGGGGCAATAAAAAAGAAAACTGGGCTGGAAGTCAAAAGCCCAGTATTCCATTCCTGACTATCACATTTAGTCATTCAGAATGAGTCATGCATGTGCTTTCATGACAGCCATTTCTTCGTATATTTCTTACTTAGAAGAACTATAGTAGATGGTCAGATGCCCACATCAGTTGGCACAGAAAAAGAATGACAAAGCTCCTGAACCTGACTGCAGATTTGTTGCAGTGCTGACGTAACGGTAACAATTGTGAATATTTATCCTCCACTTGCCAGGCACTTGTCAATATGCCAGGCACTGTGCTAGGTGGTTTACGTGCAGTAACCCAAATAATTCTCCCAAGAGCCACACAAGGCATTCCCATTTTCAGAGCAGAAAGTAGAGGACAGAGAGGCCTACCAACTCGTCTGAGATCATTGTGCTAAGAGGCAAGGGTCCCCCATTTTGAATAGTACGTTAACTCCATTGCATGAGCTCTTAACCACTGTTTGTTGTCGTGTGTGGTTTCAGGCATGATTTTAACTTTTCACAGTTTTGAAGTCCTCGTGTGATAGTTCAAAATATATTAAGTCACACACCACTGATCAATAGGGGGAGATTTGTTCCTGGTATCTCTCAAGAAAGATGATTAAAATAATGGCCATAATCCTTAATAATGTCACTGAATCCATCAATTAATAAATAAGATCAGTCGTGGGTTCAGAAGATGCTGAGATTTTGAATCTTTAGCTATGTACAGCAAATGGGATAGTCACAAATAAGTATATTAAGAAAAAATTGAAGAGAGCAATTTTTGTTCTGTTTCGTCTATTTGAGCAAAGTCTTTGACAAGACAGGAAAGTAGCTGTTTGTAAATTTTGAAGTCCAGGGACTCACTGAATTCATTCTGAAGGTGCCTAATGCGATGCCTATATCAAATGTAGCTGAATGAAATTGTATCAACCAAACCATAGCATTCCAAAACAGACCAAGCTAGATGGTGCAGTTAATTTTTCTCAGATATTTCTGTCTCTCTTTCCCTACCAAGCTGCATTTCTTTTTAATGTAAAGGGCATCTTATCATTAACTTATGAATGTGTAAGACATTTTTGTAGGGTGTATTATGTTAGGAATGCTTTGAAATCAAAATTTATTCAAGATATCCAGTCTTCAAGGACTTTTTTCCCCCATCATTAGATAAGCAGCAAAGAGAAGCAGTAAAGGCACCTAAAAGTACACCTAGACATCAGGGGGGATGTTTTTTTGAGTTCTAGAAAGCAAAGACAAGAAATGAGAAGGATGGGACACCCGGGCTAGTCTTATGACTCTTGACCACATACATCCTAGATGCAAATCAGTTCATCTTGAATCAGTTCATCTTGATCAAGCGTCATGTGCTGATGACTGAATGTGAGGACTGGGGAAAAGTACCCGCCTGCTGCCTCTGTAATAGTCACCCACTCTCCTCCACCAGGTAACTGAAGGGGAGTTTGGGGGTTCTGGGGGCCCAGCAGGCTCACTGTTTCAGATGTACCCCCAAATACAGAGCCTGATGAGCATTGTTATCATGACCAACAGTGAGGGAATAGGTTTTAGGAAGTAGGTCTAACTTTGCATTTTTGCTTTAGCTAAGTTGGTCACACAGTTGAGAGTGGAAGGTACTATGGGGCACTTTGATTTTAAAAGCAGAAGAAATGCCTTCAGATTGTGATAAGAAACTGACTGTTTTCAAGTGGTTGTTTAAAGTAGTTGGCAGCTTATAAAGAATTCATGCTTAATAGCATTTTGCCAATGACTCCCCCATTATTCCTTATGGCTGGGGCCACATGACCTGCCTAATGAGTCTGTTTCCTAATGTGCTTAAACTCTCTGTCCTCAGGATTCTTTCCTTTGCTTTCTGGAGAGGGCTTTCTGGTTCCCAAGTTTGATGTGTCCCTTCCTGTAGCTAGAGAAGAGAAAGGGAAGAGGGTCCCTTGGGATCTTGGCCTCAAGTCTTTCTGAGAGCCAGAAGTCTTCTCCCATTTTCTCAGAGCAGCCCCACACCAGGTACACATGGGCATGTGTCTCGAGAAACACACGTGACAAATATTGTCTCACTTCATTGACTGTACATCAGAAATTTTCCGCCTTTTACTGCACAGGAATGCCTGGAAGCTCTATGAACACAGAGCCAGGTCAGTTTTGGCTCACTTGTGAATCCACAGTATTTTTACACAATGCTTAGCTTATAACAGATGCTCAGAATAAAATTTATCTACTGATAAGTACCATTTATAACTGATTAAATATAGTGTGGTCATTGGTCCTCAAACTCTTGGACTAGATTACAGTTTCCTATTATAACTTTAATTCAATGGAAAAAGCAGATTTGACCGCAGCAGTTCAACTCACTCTCAAGTTTGAGAGTTACCTGTACTGAAGAGACGCGTGGTTAGCTGCTGGGTGTAGACATGCATCATTTGTGTTTCCTTCATTTTTTTTCTTCTGTCACTCTCCTTCATTTCTGTGCCCTGTTTCTTCCCTATGACACTTCCTGAACAAAAATGGTGTTAGGATGGGGATGATAGGAAATCACAAAAACGAGATTGGGTTCACAAGACCACTTTTTAGCCAGGGGGCTCTTCTTAAGGCTGGGATGACTTCAGCCCATTATGTGCATGATCTTCCATTAAGAAAGTTCATGGACAGACTATTTCCTTACATGGTGTAATTTTCTGCTTGGCTCTTGTGAAGTTTCTACTTAGGGAATATCCTTTCTTCCATTTGCAAATCAAAAGGTCCAACAACATCATCAAATCATACTAGAAATAAAATGGACGAATGGCTTCATTTAGGGAACATAGCAAATGTTTACTGTCCATATAACAATCCACAGCCAACAGCAACCTGTTCACTCACAGATACTGTAGTTTATGCAGTCTGCAAATAACCTCACTTTAGTGTTCATTAAAAAAAGCAGGTTCAGGGCGCCTGGGTGGCTCAGTCGGTTAAGCGGCTGCCTTCAGCTCAGGTCATGATCCCAGGGTCCTGGGATCGAGCCCCACATCGGGCTTCCTGCTCGACGGGAAGCCTGCTTCTCCGTCTCCCACTCCCCCTGCTTGTGTTCCCTCTCTCGCTGTGTCTCTCTCTGTCAAATAGATAAATAAAATCTTTAAAAAAAAAAAAAAGCAGGTTGATTCAAATACACCCCCCAGCATACAACACTTTGGTAGAGATTTTATGTAACATTCTTCGGTGGAAGTTGGAGTTGTTTGATCCCCAAAAGAAATTGGTAGAGATTAGTGTAACTCAAGAATAGGCAGAAAATACGCAAGCAAGTGAAAAGACAAACGCCTAGCAGTGTTTGAACTGTTAGGAGCAAACGCAACCATTGTGGCCTTTAATGTTGACAGAAAAAGTTCAGAGTAGGACATCAGAACCAGAGGCTGTGAGATTATCTTTCAAAATGTAGTGTAGCATTTATTAGAGTCTGATGCTGTGCTTCGGTAGCTGTTGTGAAGTGTGGGGCTGTCCCCCACGCTGCCCTGCACGTTCACTTGGCAACAAACGGATGCATTAGGCAGAGTTCAGAGAAGAGGACCCGCGTTCATTTCCCGCTAAACTCTAAAGTCCTAATGTGGGGGAATGGCGACGTCCTGCCAGAGGAGGAAACCCGAGTCGAGTCCCTCCGAGGGACTGATAAAGATGTCCCTCACGCTCTCCGGGGAGCCGGCACCCGGGCACCAACAGGCACGACGTGAGGACCGCCAGACTCGCCGACTGCGGCCACATCCCCAAGGGGCCGGGGCGCGCCTGCTGGAAGGTGGGAGGCGGAGTTGCTCCGCTTCTGGGAAGAGACCAAAGGAATGAGTAATTGGAAATTCTGTAACTTAGACCCTTCTCCTAAACTCTTTAGCCCTTTCACCCCAAACCCCTTGCCGAGAGGCAAGGGCACCGGAGACAGGGGGTCGTGGTGGAGGGAGAGTCACGTTTCGGAGAGGGAAGTGAAATAAAGAGGGCGGCACCCGGGGGAACCTGTGCGTCATTGAGGGACCGAGGAGAAGCGCGGGCGCACGGGGTGGAAAAGGAGAAGTGGGAGCGAGAAGCTGGAGGGGGCGGCCGCGAAGTGCGGGTGGGGGCGTCGCGAAGCGCCTGAGCCTCTCCTGCCTTCTCCGGCCGCGCCCCGTCCGCCCGCAGCCTCGCGGCGCCAGCCTCGACCCTCAGCGCTCCGGATCCGGCAGGCGGGGCGCGCCCGTCGCGCGCAGAATGTGGCAGCGGACACGGCTCCGGCCCCGCGCGTCCTGGCGCTGGGCGCTGGCGCTGCTGACTCTGGGCGGCGCGGGTCTGTGCCACGCCGGCCCGCAGCCCATGCACCCCGCGCGGCCGGGAGCCAGGAACAAGTAAGTGCGCGGTCCCTCTCCTCGTTCCCGGCACGGAGTCCTGGCCCCCCCGCCTACCCTTTCCCGACCCGCTGCCGGGTCCGCAGCTGCCCTGCCAAAGACTATGAGCAGCAGCCGTGGGGTCCCCCTTGGGCTGCCCGGGCGGCGCCTCCTCCCGGGGGGCCGTGCGCTCTCCGGCCGGCGCGAGGCGTCCCGGGTGATCTCGCCGGCCCTTCGAGCAGTGCTGCCTCCGGGGCTGTGGGGGTGTAGGGAGTGTCCCGCAGAGCAGGACGATCAGGAAAATACTCCCGGGAATTACGGAAGCCCCTGGGACCGTAGGTACTTTTCTTTTGCGTATTTTGGCGGCTTAAGACGCCGGTTCCCCGAAGGCGCACCCGCGTACCCTCCGGATGGCTGCTTTCTGGGGCTCCCTGACCCTCGCTCGGTCCGCTGCTCTATCGGCTCGCCCCGCTCTCCCCAGCCTCATTGTTCTCAGGGTTTACACTGTGGCTTCTCGCTCTCTCTCCTTCACCCCAGGAACTGGTGCGCCTACATCGTGAACAAGAATGTGAGCTGCTCTGTGCTGGAGGGAAGTGAGAGTTTTATTCAGGCTCAGCACAACTGTGCCTGGAACCAGATGCCCTGTCCGTCCGCGCTGGTGTAAGTCCTTGAGCCCAGGAGCGGGCGGGGTGCGCCGGGGCCTGGGCGGTGGGTGGCGTCCGAGCGCTGAGCTCCAGCCCGTCCGTAAATCTCTTCCAGGGTGAGAAAAACCAGCAGCTGAGAAGTCTGAGTGCTGAGCGCAGCCCCAGGCGCACTGGGGTGTTTTGGGAGCGTGGGTTGCCCTGAGTGAGCATGGACGATGCGCACGACTTGCGAGCTTGTGATCACCGGGGCACTGGAGGGGTGAACGAAGCCCCCACCCCCACCTCTTTTTTTCTTTCAATTTTATTACTAACATAAGGCAGCTGGACCTAATTAGATCCATATTGTGTGTGCTGAGGCACACAGAAGATTCCAAAACGTATACTGCTAAAAACGTTGAAATGTAGGATTAGCTGAGAGGTTTGTCCTAGCCCGTGTCCTAAAACAGGCGAGTTTTGTCCAAATGTCCCCATAAAACGGACCTTTTCCAGTGTTGTAGCTCTCTAAATTGAAGTCCTAGCAGTAACTTGCTTAAAGTGAGTCATTTTTTTTTTTTTCATGTTAGATTTGGGGATTCAGCTAAGAAATTGTCAGGAGAAAATGGTAATCTTTTTGATTTGCTTATAAAGATTTCATCATCTTAAAAGAAAAACAAAGAGGAAGCAATGCAATAGAATACAAATTCCGTTAAGCACATCACACACATTCAATTCTCTTCTGGCAAGCCTTTGTGTTTTTGTGTAAGTCAGTTATCAGAGGATGAGGGATGTGAATCAATGGCTGTTGGGGAACACATGGGATGGTTGAAATTAATTGTTTTCCCCTAAGAATGCGTTGTTTGTCTTAGGGCACTGTTGTCATTACAGCAAAGAATAGCCGGTAGGCGGATCTGTCTTTGGCAAAGCAAAGGGACAGACTGAAACTGTACTCCAGGAAACCTTATTCCAGAAGGCAGTAGATGAGCCTTCAGGCTTTGTGGGGTGGAAGTGGTCTCCGGATCATTCCACTTGGGCTCTTGTGGGAACTGCAAACAGGGAAGGGATAATTCCTGTTAGGCCAACAGCAACAACCACCATCACCTAGAAGAGACACCCCATTTTCGAATAAACAGAGAAACAGGCAGACATGGAATTCTGGCTCCCTGAGTTGGATTTGTCAGAGGGGATGCATACTGTCATAGTGCCTGTTATCTCTGCTCGGTAATTTGTAGACCTCACAGTCCATGGCCGGCAGTCAGTGAAAAGAGAACTGAGTAAGATTTTTACATGGTGGCAGAGACACGAACGAAGTATTCAACACGATTTGAATGGATGTGCTTAAACTTAGAATTATTAGTCAGGAATATATCATTTGTTTTACCCAAGAACTGCATTTTGTGGTTTGCTATAACCTGAAGACTTGTGGCAACTCAGATAAATGAATTTTTCATTTGGGGAGGTCATGCTTTTCATTTAAAAGATGTTTCTTTTAAATTTTCTGAAATTCTTTTAGTGCTTGCAAAATTAAATGATGATTTGATTGTTGTATTTGACCAAAACTCAGTGGAACAGATCCTTTGTCGTCAGTGAGGAGCAAATCACCTCCAGATCAGCAGGTTAATGAAAGGCAGTTGGAGCATATTTTTGCCATCCAGTGGGAAGGACAACAAAAATTGCTATAAGAAATGACAGATGTTTCTGTTGTTTTCTTAAATAGAACCAAAATAAGTGACCTGGGTGTTTTTCTTCAATAATAGTCACCTAAACAATTCAAGTGTGTTTTTACATTTTAGATACTGCATTGTAAGTGTGAAATTTAAAAAATAAGAACAGACTGTTTTAGCTGATCAAGCTGGAAATTTTGAAATTAACTTAGGTAGTTAATTCAGTCTTGACTTTTTTCTTTCTGTTTCTTTAGAGCTAGGAAAGGAAAGCTTTATCTTATTTTTCAACTACTAAATGATTCCTAAATTTTGATGATTGGTGGATGATGGAAGTCAAAGCCTCTTTATACTTAAAGAGAATGAATGGCTGTTTAACATGGAATTTCCCAGGTGTTTCTGATGAATCCAGAAGCCCCAGTCACTTCTCTCAATTCATGGGCTCGTTGTCAGGTGAGGTCTTCAAGATTTGATCCCTAGAACCTGAGCCGTGTGGAAGTGAAAGTCCTTTGGAAACTCATCCTGCAGTACTGAAGGATCCTTCTCAGGTGGAAGAAGTGCAGGGCTGGAGGTTGACTGAGATGCTGGAGCTAGAATGCAGTTTGGCAGCTGCGTCCAGCTGAATGCCTGGGAGTGGCAGGTGTTTGCCAGCAAGGCCTTGCAAGGGATGGGGCAGAGCGGAGTTTCTAGGGATGGTGGAGGGAAAGGAGGAAGAGGAACCAGGAAGGGGAGAGAGCAAAGTAAACGTTAGAGGAGGAAACTTCATCTTAGGAACCATGTGCATTTCCAGAAGGGTTAGACCTTGCTCCGCTTGCATATATGAAGAGCCTTCGATTCCAGATTGCGAATTTGGGCATCGTTATGTGAAACTAGGAGCAGAGAGGGTTTTTGTATATGTGGGCATTTTGAGTCATTACTTTTCTGAAACTGTAAAGAGATTTTAGTGTGTCAGGCGCTGCGTTAGGGCTTTTTATTCCATATACAAGGTTATTTAATTCTTGCAACAACCCTTCAAGATGAAAACCATGGTCCCCATTTTGCCAATGAGGAAACAGAGGCTAGATGTTCCCTAACTTATCCACAGTCACGTGACAGTAAGTGGCTGAGCTGCCCGCAAACCCAGGGCTACTGGCCTTTGGCCCCATAGCGATGGAGAATGCATTTATTAACGTTTTAGTGTGTGTCTTTGGTGCATTGCACAGTACTCAACTATTAAGAACAATTACACCTTATTTCATGGAAGGCAATTCCCATGTAAAAGTGATTGAGAACTGTGTGTATGCATGTGCACGTAAATCTTTATTGTGGGTTATTTGCTATGATGCATTGGACTGTATCATTTTTCATACTGTCCACTATGCTATACAGTTTGTTTTTAAAAATTTTCCCCCAGTTTTATTGAGATTTAATTGACATACAGCACTGCAAAAATTTAAGATGTACAGCATAAGGACTTACATGTTGTGAAATGACTGCCACAGTAAGTTAACATCCACCATCTCATAGAAACAAAAAAAAAAAAAGAGGAAAAGTTTTTTTCTTGCAATGCAACTCTTAGGATCTACTTTCTTAACAGATTTCAAATCTACCATACAACAGTGTTAACTACACTCATCATGGTGTACATTACATCCTCAGGACCTTATGTTACAACCGGAAGTTTGCACCTTTGACCGCCTTCATCCAGTTCCCTCTCACCCCACCCTTGCCTCTGTTAACCACAAATCTGATTTCTTTTTCTGTGAGTTTGGTTTTTTTCTTAGATTCCATGTATAAGTGAGAATCTATACATACATACAATGTATACCTACAAAATTTGTCTTTTTCTGACTTACTTCACTTAGCATCCATGTCACATGGTAGGATTTTTCTTTCTTTTTAATGGCAGAATAGCATTCCATTGTATGTATATACCACAACTTCTTTATCCATTCTTCAGTCAGCGGACACTTAGGTTATTTCCATGTCTTGACTATTGTAGATAATGCTACTGTGAACATGGGGTGCAGAGATCTGTTTAACATAGAGTTTTTGTTTCCTTTGCATATATACCAAGAAGTGAAATTGCTGGGTCATAGGGCAGCTCTATTTTCAACTTTCTGACGAACCTCCATACTGTTTTCCAGAGTGGCTGCACCAGCTTGCATTCCCACCAACAGTGTAGAAGGTTCTCTTTTCTCCACATCCTCAGCAGCATTTATGTCTTGTCCTTTTGATGTCTTATTTTAATCAAGTACTCAGGGCCTGACTTGGGTGAGAGTACCTTCCCCGGGAGCACATTACTGTAATGGGAGGGGCCACTTCATCACCTCACGTCTTTAGAGCAACTCCATGGGGGCCATCAGCCCCATTCTACAGAAGGTCATGTCGTTAGGAAGGAGCCGACCTGGATCCAAATCCAGTCACCTTTCCTTGTCTTAGACTCTTCCCCTCCACACCGCATGGTCCCTTGCCGTCTGGACCCACACCCGAGGGTGTGTGAGCGTGATGCCCGCCACAGCGCATGCTGGTGAGATGGCAGGGAGCGGCCATGGCCTGAGGTTTGCTAGGTCTCCCGCTACACGGGTTGGTGGTGTTTGGGTGGACTGCCGGCAGGAGACAGCGCTACCTTCTTCTTGGACTAGGCATGGCTTCCTTTCAGGCATCATTCACGCTTCGTGGCAGTGATTCCGGAGAGTCCACGACCTCCCACTCCGCTGCAGCGATCCAGCTGACTGCTGTTAGTATTTGAGGCATTTGGGGGCGTCCTGTGTGCGGAGCAGCTGCTCTGTAGGTGAGGACATCCGGGGGTTCCCAGATGGAAGGCAGGTTTATTTCCGGTATTCGCTTTGCTCGGCTCCGGGCCAAGGCTCCATAGGGCGGGGTTTCCTACTCTGCGCCCACAAACTGACTTGGGTTTATCAGCATCTACCCAACCCCGCTCCTGCCCCCTCTTGGGTGTGTTGCGTCTGGGTGGAATTTTTCCTATGAGCTCTTTGAAAGAATCTCATCAGTTGGGGGAGGAACTGGGTGGGACCGACTAGGGGGCCCTGTGGTGCTGTGATTACTCGGAAGAATTTGTGAATTTGTAGCAGGTGTGAGCTCTAAGTGCTGAGTTCCAGAACTCCTCTGATTCTCCGATTCCAAGGGGGAACAGATGGTCATTCAGTTGGAGGAAAAGTTGCCTGTGAGAGAGCAATCTCAGCCAGGAGACGCTTTTTTTCTTTTTTCTTTTAAACAAAGAACACTTAAGGCAGCGAAAATAATGAGGACTTACATCTTCTAGAGTAAATTTTACAGTTTCTGCGTCTCCAGGAACAGAATTCCATTCAACTGGAAAACGTGCCTCTTGTGGGTGTAGCTTTGGGGGAATTCTTTTTCCTTCAGCTTTTACACATCT